GGTATGACCGTTTCCTCGATGGTACTTGCAATAAGAGTTGGGATTCCATCTCGAAGATCGATTTTCTGGCGTTGGATCCTCGGTAGGGCCAATAGGTTTGATTATTCCACGATCATAGAGGCGATCAAAAGCAGCATCGTAGGTCATTCCAATGGGTGTGAACTCTCTCCTGGGTTTCTTTTTGTATCCTTGATTATCCATAGCTAAGACACCGTTATGGTCAAAGGTACTAACATTGTTACTAGAGTGGGCGTTTTCGGAAAAAGAAGGATTGTCGTTCTTCTTCCCTTTCCAGCCACCGTGGTTACTATTGTTAGTAGCTTTTTTCTTTGCGAGGTCATCTTCGATTTCAATATTGATATCATAGACGGCCTTGAAAGAATTCAAATTATGTTGATACTTTAAATTCTTTGAATACTTCTCTTGGAGATTCTTGATAAACATCCTCATAGATTCTTTTTCAGTGGGCACCTTAATCATCTTAGCGGAGGTTTCCCTCCACTTATTAAAGAAAGAAGTAAAGCCTTCATTCTCTTTTTGTCTTAGCATCTCAAGTTGTCTATAATCGGTTTCAACTTGAATATTGCACTTGTACCTATCAATGAAAGCGTTCACTATAAACTCCCAAGTAGAGGTTCTCTCTTTTTCAAGGGAGAAGAACCATTGTTGGCAAACGGTTTCAAGAGATAGAGAAAATATAGAGGGAAACACTTTCTTATCAATACCCTTAATACTCATTATTGTTTCAAAAGCTCTTAGATGAAAATAAGGGTTGTCAGTTGCCTTGAATTTCGGGATGTCGTTGGCATTGAACTTCTGCGAAAGAAGATCCTTGTCCACCGAGACCCCTTGTAAACTAATGCCTTGAAATTTTTAGTCACTAGATAGCTTGCTCAAGCTCTCTTGCATGAGGTCCACCTGTTGTTGCTTACATTTCACGTCGAATCATAATCGAATGAAGTGAAAGTGTGGAAAGTCTAGTATTGCGGTTAGTTTTTATTTCTTTTCTTTCTCTCTATTTTTGAAAACCTATTTTAAGAAAATAGACAATCCAATTTGGTTTGGTCCATGGAAAGGGTCCAATAATAGTGCATTTAGGTTAGGTTCGAAAAGAGCTTTCCAACGATATATTATAAGCCCAATTCCGATGAGTTATGGACAAATTACTAAACTAGGCCCGGTTTGATCTTTATATGCGGCCCAATGATCAAGAGGATGACCTATTATTGGTTTATCATTCCTAATGTGATTAGGATTGATTATAGTCTTCTAGAATCTTCTAGAAGGTTCTTTTGAATCCTAATTTGATTAGCATTGATAAATTGATTTTAATTGACTTTTAAGAGTTTTAATTAAAATAAAAGAAGTGTTTTTAAGGAAATTACAGTTTTGCCTTCTCGTACGCTTAAATTTTACCAAAATAAGAAAACGCGTGGAAAAGTGGTTTGCAGCGCCATACGACATGTCTGTCGCCTGGCGACAAGCGCGTGTTTGGCGCTGCAGTCGTGTTTTATTCTTTTCGAAACTCTGATTCGTTTTTTTATCATATCCGGCTGATTTTCTTTATAAATAGCTTCCTAAAATTCCGTTTTCAATCACTAACAATTATCAACAATCAACTCTCATCACGAAATTCTTGATTACTCTCTCTCTCTGTTCTAAACTAGCTTTTTCATACAAAATTCCGCATTCGCAAGATCTAGACACACCTAGCCAAGTTCGAAGTTGCCTTCGCCCTAGACGTGAAAGGTTTTAATTTCTGAGGGTTTGATCCCAAGTCTCTCTTTTAATTATTTAATTTAATTGTTTGTTTTATATTTTCCTTGAAGTTACTAACGTGTGTATTTTATTATTAGAAAAAGTTACAAGGCATCCAAGTAAGTGCTTTAATTGTTTGCATTTTTATTATGATATTATTATGATATAATAATCATGTCTAGGTTGTTATTATGATTCCTAATGTCATGTTAGGGTGTTTTGATCTTTCTAGTATCATGTTTAGGGAAAAGGTTATAATATTAACCTCCTCATCAGCATAACTCAGCAATAATGTGCCAGGAGCAGTAGTCTCTTCAGGAAAAGTCTTATCAAAAGCAGCCATCTCAGCAGCATAGTCCCACGCTTCATGCTTTCCCTGCTGATAATCCTCCATCATCTCCAAGCATGCCTTCCCAAAATAGTAGCTAGCCACGTCAAGGGCATCACGTTCCTTTTTCATGAAATCATAAACCCGAGTGAATTCTGACACCTTGTTCAATACGCCTAAGCATGATTGAAAACTCTGCATAAACACACAACAGAGTAAAGATAAAACAGCCTGTCATTCAATTTTGTTAAATTCTTTTTTGGGAGTATACTATACCTGGAAGGACTGCGCAGCAGCTTCTTGAGAAAGGTCGGCAAAGGTCTACAAAGACTGGCGCTCCTTAAAGGCCAGGAAAAGCAAAGTGCCCACATGAGGAGCCAGAGAGTCATAGGAGAAATTGGCAGCATCAACATCAGCAGGTATCTCCAACTTCCTCTTAAGGTTATTACGAGGCGGAGGCGGAGGAAGGGCACTCCTCAGTGGAATCACATTAGCCGGAACATCTTCTGGAGCCTTGGAAGAAGCCCATGATCTGATGCGACCTAGGATGAAAGAAGAGCTAAGCAAATCATGGGACCTTAGTGACCTAGAAGTATCTACAAAACAAGACAAATGAAGGCAAATTTAGCTAATTGCAGCACAACAACAATACAATCCCAGCAACAAGTACAAAGAAAATCCAGCAAGTACAAAAACAGATAAACAACCGTACAGTCTCAACAAGGCATGACAAGAAGGAAGCAAAAACAAAAACCAACACGAAGGAGAAAGACATATCTTGAGACATAGTAGGGGCAACCTTTTGTTCAGAGTTAGAATCGTCCAAAGTCTCAATCTGAACAACCACTTTAGGCTGCGTCAATTTGATGAAGGATCTCTCGTTCGCACTCAACTCGTACAACTTGTCAATCAAGTACTTAGACTGAGAACGTTGCTTCAACTTGCTCATTGCAACCATCAAGAAAATAAGCCCAAATCAACAAAGAAGGAGAGCAACACAAAGAAAATAAGAAAACAAATACCTTCAGCCTCAACAATTTCAATTAAGAAATCATTGTCATCATCCAATGAGTCAATCCTCACAAAGAAAAACCTGTGATACCACTTCTTATCAAACGTTTTCTCCACGTCTGTCACCAAAGGAACACCACCATCCTTCAAACGAAGCCTAACCCGACCTTTACCACTAGTTCTAATTGTGTAAGGATAGCACAAATCCCTTACATCCAACTTTATACCTAAATTCGCACTCAACAAATCAAGAATTCGCATAACTTTCCAAGTTTGGGGCAAAAACTGACAGGGTGAAACCCTAACCCAAGACAGAAATTGACGAACAAGAGAAGAGAAAGGGAAGGTATGCCCAATTATGAAGGGATACTCAAAGAAACACACCCAACCAGGGGCGGTCCAGTCCGCCCTCTCCCTAGAAGATGGAATCTTCACCACCACACCATCAGGGAATTGCGCAATATTTGCAATTTTTTTTAACATCCTCCTTCTCCATATGAGAAGGATAGACATCCTTAGCAGGGAAAACGTTTTGTGCAACAAGAGTCGGCTTTTTCACACCCTCATCAGCCCAAGCAAACATTACTTTCGCTGTATCACCCATCGCAAAACACAAAGGAAGCAAAAGAAATAAAGAAACAGAAAAGAGAGAGAAAGTACCTGGAGAAAATTTGAAAATAGGGAAAAGAGTGAAGTGATTTAATGTGAGCCTGCACACCCAATAAATATTGCAAGGGAAATAAACCGCCCTTCACAGTCATCAAAGTACTTGCCTGAAAAGCGCCACCACATTCCTTATTTTTGTTAACTGTGAAATAAATTCCAAAATTCGAAAATTCTCCAACGACTTCCTTTAGGTAATTTTCATCCTCAATACTTGAGCATAAAAATTAGGGGCAATTGTTGGGCCCGTGTTACCAAGCAACCCAATAAACCTTGGGTGCAGCCAAACACCCAAAAATACACCAAGAAGCAAGTAGCGGCCTGATTGATACAAGTATAGCAAAGAAGATCATAAAATCAATTAAGAAGATACTTGCCCAGAATTACACCTGCTAAACAAGGAAAATAGAATAAAATCAAGAAGATCTCCCACGTTTGAATATATTCTGTTATCTTTGTAACCCTAGTTGTTCCTAGGTATAAATAGCATAATTAGACATTATAATACTCATGTACGCACACTCATACATCAATATAAACGGATTACTCTACTTATTCTCTCGGGACCATGTCCTTGCTGAACAAGGAAGCCTATCCTTTCTCAGTATGGTATCTCTAACCTTAATCTTCTTTAATACGATCATTTACTTATTGCTTTATTATTGCTCTTGGTTATTGTGCTTAATATTTATGGTTTGATTGTTATTGCCCCTAAATCCCCAAGCAAATTCCTAGATACCTTTCCTAAGATTTGCCTAAACACAACCCCACTATCTCCATATTTTAAAATTTTTACCAATTTCTCCTAAAACTCCACACATAGAGAATTTAAACAAGTACTACCTCCGTTATAGGTTATGTGCAACGATTAGACATTTTCCCTCTCAACTTTATATCAAATCGTTGCACATAACATGTAATAGAGGTAGTATTTAAAAACGAAAGGAGTAGCTTTCAACTAAACTACTTTTCCTAAAATACAATTTCTTAAGGCAATTTAATTGTCATATGCCCCCGTCAACCAAAGAATCCTTATAAACAAAAATTTAGGAAGCTTCATTGTATGCTTCCTCCGGCACTATCGTGTTTATTTAATTTGCTTTAATGACGTGTAGAATGAAGGAGTCTTGTTAGTGCTCTGCACGCAATTAAAATCCTGTCGCATCATAGGTTTATTTTAATATTTAAAGAGCGCCTATATATGTGTGTAGTAATACGGAGTATTTCGTATCAGATTGTATCAGTAGCTAGAAAATCAGAAAACTAATCACTGTATTAAGCAAGTCACACACGGGGATAGATCCAATAATATGTTTTCTTCGGCTACATCCACAAGTATGAGTATTTTTTTTTAATATACTACTTCCGTTATATATTAGTTGTAACTTTTAGGTGTTATTTGTGATACACAAAATATTCTAAAGTTACAGCTAACAAATAACGGAGGTAGTATTATTATAATAATATTTACTCTATAGAAACTTACTATCTTTATATTTTTCGTTCCAGGTATTCTTAAATCCTAAGATACATCTACTATGTTTAATTTTTTATTATTTGCAACAAAAAAATATTATAAATCTAATAAATAATATTTCTTTGATGCAAATAATAAGAAACAAAGATAGAAATTTCTTCTGGTCCAAAGTTATCTTCAGGTTAGAATGTTACAAATATTAGATTTTTTTTTTTTAAAAAAGGTTCTACTTACTTTAACTACGTAAATTAAGAAATTATCCCATTGTCACTTGTGAGTGATTGGAAGATAAAGTAATATACTACCTCTGTTAATGGTTATTTGTAATTTGGGTTATTATTTATGAAATATAAAAAATTTTAAAGTTATAGATAACCATTAACGGATATGAAATAAAAATGTGACTTAGTGTAAGGGGAAAGTGAATAAAGTGAGAAAGAGACCGTACAAAGCATAAACATAATATGTAACCGATCATGCTTCTATTGTGTCATATTGGCTCTATATAATAGAAAAAAAATAATTGTTTTCATAAAAAAAAAAGAAAAAAAAATTCCGTGATAATAATAAAACATGAGTAGAGCATAAAAGAACGTAGGGAATATAAATATATACTTTCTCCGTTTTTTTAATAATTGTAATAGTTTGACTTTTACACTATTCATGTATTTTGATTTGACGGTTTATAGTTAAGTGAAAATATAATCATATGGGATTTTGTTAGATTCGTCTCGACTTATACAATTTTAATATCAAATGCTTATAATTTTTACATGTCGGGAATTAAGATATTAACAATTTAAATTATACATCGATAAACGTGAAAATAAAATTGTTGCAACTAGAGACAATATGAATCAATATGAGTTATAGTCTATCTACGAAGTATATGTTACGATGTGACAAAAGTATACTCAACCACCAAGAGAAATTAAATTGCAAGAGGAAGAAAAGCTAGTCAAAGATTCAAGGAAAATAAACATGACACGGTTTTTTTTTATACAGTACGGAGTACGTAGTATACCTAATCATGGGCAGGTAAAGCTATGCCTTATGCGTTGGGCCTTGGCATAACAATAACCCATTTTAGGCCAAAGTTTTGGGTTGTGTCAGGCCTATTAACATCATATATTAAAAACTTAATTTTTGATACTCCATAAAAAAAAAAAAAAAAAAAAATTGATACCCTTATATGCCTATACTATATAAAGCCTGTGCAATGCACGGTTTGTTTGATTTTTAAAATTTTTTTTTTTTATATTTATGAGCTAAAATTTGTTACTTATTTAGATAAAATTTTTCATATTAAAAGATAATATATACTTCGTAATATTTAATTAATTTAAGCTTAAAAAAATCATTTGCCAATTTTGCTTGCGTGACATTTGAATTAATTAATTCTAAAAGAAATTAATGATCTCTTATTTACTTGGTTACAAACAAAATTTATAATCCTACATGACCGCTAAGAATTACAACCAAAATTTATAATCCTACATGACGCGCTAAGAAAATTAAATCCTACGTTACTCTCTAAAAATTGAGAAAAAACTCTTATATAGTTTTATATATTTTTCAAATATACTATTTTTAAGACCCAACCTAATTTTGAACAGGGTTTGGGAAAAAAAAAATCCCCAAAGTCGAGAGGTGTCAGATTGGGACCGAATTTTTATATTTTGCCGCGGGCTTTGGATATGTGTGTCCAGGCTTTTTCGTTACCTTTTATTTTTGCCTGACCTTGCCCAAACCTACCCAACCGAGCAGGCTCATTTAGTTTTGGACTTTTGGCCCGGCCTACTCTTAGCTGACCTCTACATTTTTCTATCTAAATTATTTATTTTTAAAAAAGTAAATTAGTTACTGCCAATAATAAAATGAAATTTAATTATAATTAAAATAAGTGTTTGATGTAGTATACGTATGAGAGAAAATATAGTGGTAAACTTTTTATACCATGGGGTTGGATGATTTTTTTTATGAGAAAAGGGTTGGATGATTTTGAAGAAAATATAATATTTTGCGGTATATACTTCATATGATGTTTATGAGTGAGAAAGTGGTATAGGGAGAAGTGGGGGGTGGGGGATGATATACGTAGTAATATTATGTATCAGTGTATCACAAGTTTTTTTTTTTTTTTTTTTTTGGTTTGTTTTGACATGTGTTGTTGGTCTAAAAATCCATATTTAATGTTTGTTTAAGAAAAAACAAGGTGGGTATAGCTTATATCACACTTCTTGATATTAAATAAGTAGAAAAAATTTATTCCCAAACAATGTCCAAACATAAAGTTTTACACCGTAAGAATCCAACCACATAGTTTTATTTCTTATTTCACACAATACAAAATTTGAATTATTATAATATAAAGGCCACGGTAAAATTATGCTGTGGAATTTTTAGGGAGAGGGTATTACCAAGGGTATTAACTATCTTGGTTACGTAGTACTCCGTATTTTATTTCTCTATCTGCTGTAGATTTCAGGTCATTGTTAAGATATTAATTTCAGGCCATTACTTTATTTCACTAACTATTATCTTTATTCTCCTCTAGTTCCTCTCGTAAGGCACGAGACGCTTTTTGGACCGTTTGAACCTGCAAAGTTTGAACACAAATAACAGAGAAATTAGATACAGTAAAAAAAAAAACTAAAAACAACCGATTACGCTGCTATTAGTCACTATCATTAACCAATTTGCCTCAGTCGACTAGTCGCATTAGAAAAGTTCAGATATGAGTTATGTCGACTAGTCAGTATTAGAACAGTTCAGATATGAGTTATGTCGACTAGTCAGTGGCATTAGAACAGTTCAGATATGAGTTATGTCGACTAGTCGCATTAGAACAGTTTGGATATGAGTTACACATAAGCGATGCGATTGGTAGGTAATTGACTAATTGCCATTATCTTACCTATTTTTACCAACTCAATCGAGTGCTCCGTCGATTAGCGTGTGGCATGATGCAATGGTGATCGATATATCAAACGATCGTGTAGCATTATATATGGGACTGGTAGCATCTTTCACTCTCACAAACTAAAGATGTGGGATAAATTCAATGATATGAAATTGGGCAAATATATAATTTTTGATAGACTACATATATAATTCAATCATTCAATTTCATTATCAGTTTAATTTTTTATTGAATTGATCCTTTAACATATACGTGATATATAATATCATAATTAACTGGTTTTAATCTCATCTACCATTTCTTGTGGAATATTAAGTGATGGGCATGCATGGCACTATGGCACAATTCAAGCTCTAATAGTCAAATTTGAGGGGGCATGATCCTGAAGTTTAACCATCCACTTAACTAGCTTTTACTTGAGTTGAACCTTTAACAGTTTTTTGGTGTTTAGAGAGTCACAAAGGTGAGGATAAGAATCAATCTCATGATCTCTTGAAATCGATCTTTAATAGGTTTTTGATAAAACTATGTTAGATTATTGATCAATATATATATTAAAAATAGTTCTACGTAGGAATAATTTTCGCAAGCATTGTTTTCTCCCAAATAAATTAATAAATTATTTCAGGGGTAACATTTATTTAGACGTGTTTACCAATAATAATACTCAGCTCCCCCTTTGTTTTTTTTTTAAATGTATTATTTTGGCTTTTGTATTATTCAGACACATATTATATGTTTATCTTTATTTCTTTTATATTATAAAATAAATAAATGTTATTATATAATATTTCATTTATTAGTCACAACAATGTCTATTTTTATAATCAGAATTTTGTTATATTTTTATTGATAGATAATTAAAAATATTAATATGTCTTCACATGTGAACTCTGTAATAATAATAATAATATAGTTGTCCAAAAAAATTAAATATGACTGCTTAAATCATAGAATAATGTTAAAATAGCTTATGTGAAAATCTTTAAAATAAATAATAATAATAATAATAATAATAAAAAATTAAAAAATAAAAAAAAAGCTTATGTGAAAAATGGCGAAAGTCGGAATGACGTGACAACTATAATGAAAAAAGAAGTTTATAAAAGCCAAATAATTGGATGATTTTACAGTAGTCGTTTGAAAAATGACTATCATATTATTTTAATAGTATACAATATGATTGGTTTATTTTTTTCACCTTACTAAATGGTCATAATTAGTCTTATTATATCTATACATATTTATTGAAAATTTTAATCCAACATATAATAATTTTTTTTTGAGAAACTAGAAAATAAGAATAAAAATTACATAAATGTTACTAAAAAGTTGATAAATCAAAAAAATGTTGATAATACTATTTTATACCTAAAATTAAATAAAATAATTAATTATCTGGAAAAAAAAAATATCAATTATAAACTTTATAATCATAAATACATTATGGTAGTCATATTTTGTAAAACTTTCACAAATGATTTGGTTGATGCAAATATATTCAATACCAATAATAAAAGTTAGCGTAAGAGAACGAATATGTTACCGGTGAATTATTCAAAATTTGGTTGCAGTTTCCGGTTGTGACTTGTGAGGGGCATCCTTGACAAAGAAGGCGGAAAGAAGGCGAGATGAGTTTCTGTTGTTACGCCGTGAGCGTTGTGGCCGAGTAGACGGTGGTGGTGGTGATGATGATCCAAGGATCAGAGAAGCCACGGGTGTAGTAACCCGCTGATTTATCACCGTAACAGCCCCATATTGTCTGCTGCCAAATTCATTATTATCTGCCATTGCCCAGCAGCTCATTTTCCGTTTAACACCTCTCGACCTGGATGTACCGGGTTTCGCAGCTTGCAAGTCAAGGATCGCTCGTGCCGCATGTAAAGGCTTCACCATGTTTTAACTATGTTTTCATGAGTGTATTTCTGGCTTGAGGTAATTTTGAGTACATATTCCGGATCGGAAATCAAATGCTAGCTCAGATAGTCATCTACATGATGATTCTAGATACGAGAATGTTTTGAGTGAAAATAAGTAGTAGTTTTTAAATAACTTATACAAGTAATACTCCGCATTATGGTTTCAATCAGCTTTTACGTGCAATTATTTATGATGAGCATGAATAATATTTTATTCCTTTGGCACGTAATATAACGTTTCGAAGACAGCTGTTGAAAACGTTGTAGAATTATTAAAATTTAAAAACCATCACCGGTCTGCCCCACTAATTATTTTTAAAGTATTTGGTATATAGAGTACTAGTCTTTACTTAGAAATTAAACCAAAGCAAACTTGGTTTAGAAGTAAACTTGTCTGGGTTCCTGAAAGTTGATTGTTGACAGCTAAAATTAGTTTTTAAAAAAAAATAATAAAAAAAAATTATACGTTCACAAGTGGAAATTTTTCAAAAAAAGAAAAAAAGGTAAACAAGTGGAAAACAAATTAAAAAGACTAATCTAGAACACTAAACTGGCGTAATAACCATATATCTCGCGTATCACATGAGCAAGTGATGTGCCACGCGAGGTCTGAAAATAGTATAGTGTATCTGAATACACTATTCGCATGCTACACTTAAAAAGAATATTAGGTATATTTTAAATAATATGGGCGAAAAAAGAATATAAATTAGTATTTGATAAAGAACATATTAGTGTTTGACAAATAAACGAACATGTTTGTGTTAGACACAAAATATGACATTACAAAAAGAATATGGTAATACAATAAAGAACATGTTATTTTTCATGATTATTTAGATGGTTGAATCTTTTTTAAAAAGAACCCTATATTTGACAAAAGAAAATGTTTGTGTTTGACAAAGAGAGAGGTATTGGGCGGGGTGGGCCGAGGTTAAAAAAAGCAGTCCACTTCTCAAGCCGGGCCAAGCTTTGGATCATAATTTTTGTGCCCACCCAAAATGGTCGTATCATGTAGTTCAGGCAGGGACAAAACAAATCAACTACAAATGCATAAAAACACATTCCCAAACCCACCCAAAAAAATTAATTTTCGGGCTGGGCTGATCCGACCCGAATCTGGGTCGAGAGATTCTGCAGAAAATAGGGTCAGGCTAGCAGATCGGACTAACTTTAATCACCTCTAGACAAATAACATAAAATCTTTACAAAAAGTACATGATAATATATAAAAGAACATGTTCTTTTTCATGGTTACTCAGGTTGTTGAATTTAACATTTTTTATATGTACTACATTTAAATATGTATTGTATCATGTAAAAAAAAAACATATAGTTCAAACTCAAAGAACATATTATGCTCGTGTTCTTTATAAATGTTTATATTGTTCTTTTTTCACCAATGTTCTTTTAAATATACCTAATGTTCTTTCCGGCACTACAAGAAAAATGTCTTTTAATAGCGATTATTTCGTAGCGATTGTACATTCGCTACAATATGCAAGTATGTTTGTGAAATAATTAAGGAAGTCGTATCATTTTACAATCGCCATGGTTTTCCCATATAAAATCGATACGGAAAACATAATAATACATATCCACACTATTTTTACACATTTATATAATTTTTGAGAAATTGTATCATTTACAATCGCCACTAAATCCTAAAAATCGATACGAAAAGCCTTTTCAACACTAGATATATAAAATTGTTTGACAAAGAATACATAAAATATGTCATAGATTATTGGTGAAAATTTAATAAAAGAGTTTGAGGTTGCATGTTCGAATCCTGTAAAGATCGTATGCATGTTTTTTTTTTTTTGAAGAAAATGAGTTAAACATTTATAGCGATTGTAATCGCTACAATAATCACCATGATTGGATGTAGTTTTTCGTATCGATTATTGAGGTCAACCCCAGCGATATTGAAAACCACTACTAAAGGCTAAGGCAACGGGGGATATTGTATCGAATAACCATTCGTTGGGAAAGCTTTTTGTTGCAATTATAATCGATACTAAAGGTTAAAATAATCGCTATGAAAAAGTTATTTTCTTATAGTGCGGATGCACCATACAGATGCTGCACCTAGGTCCACTAACCACACATTACGTGAGGCCAACTGGCTTATTTCACTACATGAACAAAATTTTACTTCCCTCCTTCTCTTTCACTTGATAACTTGTTTTATTTATCATGTTTTCCATCACTGCAAAAATTAAACCATAATAACTTTACTTCTCCATAATTAAATATTATTAAGGTTATATATTATGATATTATTTATTGAGAATATTGTAATAAGATCTCACATGAATATATGTTTTTCCTTACTTATAATTGTTGAATTATTTAGAGTATTGGTGACATATTCATGTGTTTGATTAAATTGCTAAGGCTAAGGTGTTGCAATTCAATTAAACAAGTAAATGAGCATTTAGTCTTTGGATTTACAGAAGTGTTCCTTCGCCCTGTAGTCTGCCCAGTGGTGTGCCCAAAAGGGCGCGAGAGTGAAGAAAAATTAAACGATGTTACTACCCAGTAGGGCCATCGTCGCCTGGCCAAGCGAGGGTCGTCGCCCTGCAGGGCGTGAGAGCACCCAAATTTTTTTTCCTGGGTTGCTTGGTTTCTCTTGCCCGGCAGGACGCGCAGGGCAATTTTGACAGTTATTCTTCAGTTTTGCTTCATATTGATGAAAAAGAACTTGAAGAAATCAGTTTATTCTCATTCTCTTGAAACCTTTTGCAAGTTATTGTTCATTATCACAAACTACAAAAGTTATTTACATTACATTGTAATCAATATATATCTTACATGTGATTGCAATTGTTCTTCGTTGTATCTCCTGAGTAAATTTCCGTGATACCCGGTTATAGTTTAGGGCTGGAATTATAGTTTTGGGAAAGTGATCTCGTTCACGCCTCGAATTTTATTTCTTCATTTGCAATTTTCTTTGTGACCCTTGTAAACACAAAATCCCCAACAATCCAAAAGTATAGTCTCTACAAAAATGACAAATGTGAAGGAAATGATGATGAATTTCCAGAAATTGGATAAGTTTGAGGGTGTAAAATTTCGAAGGTGGCAAAAGAAGATGTATTTTCTGTTGACATCACTCAGTGTGGATTATGTTCTCACATCCCCAAAGCCAATGGTGGAGGAAAACGAGACATTGGATGCTACTAGAAAGAGAAACAAATGGGAGAATGACAACTACATATGTTGTGGTCACATCCTAAACGGTATGTCTAATGAATTTTTAGATGTTTATCAATTTCATGAGTCTGCTAAATTACTTTAGGATGAATTAGAATCTAAATATAAGTCCGAGGATGCATCTAGAAAGAAATATCTTGTTACTAAGTTTAATAATTTAAAATAATTGATAGTAGACTGGTTATATATGGAACAATTTCATGAAATCCAAAGAATTTTAGGGAGTTTTAGACAACACAATATCAACCTTGATGTGACCTTCATTGTTTCTTCTCTAAGTGATAAACTATCATCATCTTGGAACACTTTTAGAGATGCATTAAAGCATAATAAATATGACATTAACCTTGAGGGCTTGATTTTTTATATTCGGATTGAGGAAGAAATCCGGGTGAAAGAGGGACAAAAGGATGTTAATCCTAGTTCCACTACGGTAATTGTGGTGGAGGATGCTAAGCCTAATGAGAGGAAGAGAGGAAATGACTCAAACAAGAACAAAAGCAAAAAGCCTAAAGTGGGAAGTGGTGGTCAAACAGCACGAGCTTGTTGGGTAATAAAAGATGAGCAATAAAAAAGCCTAAAAGCTCAAGGTGAGTTATTTGTAGGACTTGGTTACTTGTATGATGAAATGTTTAAGATTAGTATTTCTAATGCTTTAAAAGACAATGTGTGTGTTGTTAATTATTGCTCTTTTCTATGGCATGTAAGACTTGGACATGTTAATTATATATAAAAAGTTGTATTTTACGTCAAAGTATGATTTAATTATGCCTTCTGATCCAAGGATAGAGAAGTGTAGGACATGCATGTTAATAAAAATCACAAGGAAACCATTTCCTAAATTTGAAGAAATGAATAATGCATTGCTTGATTTAGTGCATAGTGATCTATGTGATTTTCATAGCACACCTTTTGTAGGCTACAAAAAGTATTTAGCAACTTTCATTGATGATTATTCAAGATTTTTTTATGTTTATTTATTGCATTCTAAGGATAAGGCCCTTGACAAATTTAAAATCTACAAGAATGAAGTAGAATTGCAAACAAACAGTAAGATCAAAAGATTAATTAAGAACTAAATATTTTAATCCAAGTTATTTCCAATCGATAGGTATAGTATATGAAACTACCGCGGTTATACACCACAACAAGATGGTGTAGCGAAAAGGAAGAATAGGACTCTTGAAGAAATGGTTAATTCCATGTGGTCCTATTCGGGTTTAAGTGACGGATTTGGGGGGGGGGGAAGCGGTATTAACAACTTGTTACATTTTAAATCGAGTTCCAATGAAAAGGAATAAGGTAACCCTAAAAAGTGTAACACCCTAGAAATTCCTTCCCTTTAAAATACCTGTTCTACTCTTTTTTTTATTAAAAAAAATACGAATTAGGAAAATCTAAGACATTTTAGTCACCGTGAAAACGGCTAAGACAAATATCAAGACACACAGCAAAATACTATATTTATAACCATTTATAACTAGTAAACTTTCAAGTTAAAACCCAACAAAAGTTAAGTAAAACCAAAGTCAAGCGAAATCAAACATAATCAAACAAAGTCAACCTATAACTCGGAACCATTGTAGGCCCTTATTACAACCGAGTAATACCAAAACCTTTGCGTTAGTTGCAATCATAAAAATAAATGATAATAATAAAGCAAACAAACACATCATATTCTTATGAGAGTTAAACATGATTCGCTCTTCACTAATGCCCATCATGAATATGCTTCATCACCTAAAAAGAGCTTCTCTCTACTTGTCCCCACTACTTGCCATTAGAAATGGGTCGTCGTAGGGCCAAGATAAAGACAAGACCAAACAAACATACAAACACATAATCAGCAAAGCTGAGTACATAACCGTAATGCAACACACTAACATGCTCTCATCCTATCAATCACACAACTAATTACTTGGTTGCACCTACCTATAACAAGCATTCAAGA